CCCGTGACCCCTTCCTCATCTGAGTCAAATAAAGACTAAACTGGGTCCTGCCTGTCCAGCGCCTCTGTCCCCGCCTCAGCCCTTCTCCTCCAGCCGGAACCCGGTGAAACCCCACTCTTCCTCTCTTTCCACTGTGAGGCCCGTGGTCACGGCTCTCCCCGGGTGGAGGATCCTCCCCAGCCGGGAGGAGCCTGGGGGGGACGCCTGGGGTTTTGCCTCCACCGCCCCGGGTTTGGGTGCTGCCAACACCCACAGCCTGCAGGCCTTCCCCCACAGCCTTCATCCGCCCGGGGCTGGTGGGTGCTCCTGCAGTCCCCTGGGGTGACCGCAGCAGGGCCGGGGAGCCGGGGTACCACGAGGCCTGGGGCGGGCCGGGCACGGGGAGGACGGGTGACACTTGGGGACAGCTCGCCTGGCCCTTGAGCAATAGCCCCACCGCCCTTTCCAGGAAGAGGGGACGGCTGCGCCAGCCGGTTCCCTAGCATGGCTGGGGCCAGGGGAGGGGGGAAGCGAAGCAGGGGCGGCGCAAGCCGGCAGGGAGGAAGGCGCTGACTTTGCGGTTGCTGACTCCGGTGCAATAGCCCCAACCCGCCGGACCCTACTCGGGCCTGCGTGGAGGGATGGGTGCCTGCCTGCTGCTCACCGCTGCCCTGCTGCTGCTGTGGACCCCGGCGGCAGGTGGGGACGGGGACAGGGAGCAGCTGGGTGGGCGCGTGGCCATTGGGCTGGCTCCTTTGACGGTGTCCCTTGCACCTTTGGGACAAGCTGAGATCCCTCGAAGCTGCCCCAGGGTGCTCGTGGCACAGAGGGGCACCCCAGGGTGAGTCCCGGTGGGCTCCGGGGCTCTCCAACGCTGTCGGAGGGGACGTCAAGCGCCACCTGTGACCCTCTGCTGTCACTGGCGTGCAGAAAGGGGCGATGCTTGGAGGCTGCGGAGCCAAGCTCTTGGCGGCCAGGATGGGTGCTGAACCCCTCCCCTCCCCTTCCCCCCCCCCTCCTGCCCAT